ATCACTCCTTAAAGGAAAAGCATCGTCTGCAATGAAAACATATGGCAGTTTTCGTGAAGTATTCGTGATTTCTTTACTTTATGGAATGTTTAGTGAATGTTCCTGTAGTCGCTAAAAAATTCCGTATTCTGAAGGACACCTCCATCTGAGATTCTGCCATTTGTACCGAAATCAAACATAATAAATCTATAATTTGCATCTGCAATGGCAAGTAAAACCATACTGTGCTTATGCTTGTAATTTAAAAAAAGGAATCACTTCCAGCTGGAGGAATTATATCGATATGTTTTCCATCTAGGCATCCCAGGCAATGAGGTAAATTCCACCTCTTTTTGAAACCTTGGGTTACTATCATCCAATCATGTTCAGTTTTGGGGACCTGTAAAATATATAAACATTACATCACAAAAGTTATAACTGAAAGTTCATCTACCAATCGAAAACTCTGGTGAACTCCTGGAAGAATCTGTCGAGGAAAAAGAACCTTCACAAAGTTCTCATTCAAAACATGATACATCCGTCTCTAATAATAAGTCAACATCTACAAAAAAGACACCTCCTACAACACCCTTTAAACGAAGTAACGATAAATAGTGTACTAAATTCAATTGATGACTATTTTAAGAAGCCGAAGCTGAAAGATGATAGACATGATATTTTTGGTAAAAATTGTACTTTGTGGTAAAGATAAAGAGACATATCCAATGAATACCAAAGTTGTTTTAGCCAGAAGAAAAAAATTAATTACAGATGCTTTAGTTCATTAGCTGAAATGGGGTCAATTGACTTTAATCCGCATTCTACTTCGTGGCTCTATTGCTACTAAAAATGAACATGTATATAATAATGACGAGTACCCTCAGGCAGGATCATATTGCTATCAAGGTCTTTATCCGGAAACTTAAAGCGGAGCGGCAACAAATAGCGAAAATTCAAATCAGTCACTCACTTCATATGTTACAAATTTCAGTGATACATAATTTTTTTAATAAATAGATAATTATTATTAATAACATGTATTTCACTTACCTTTAAATAATTTCTCTTCAGCACCTCGTAAATACCATGATAGGTTTCAGGAACTAAATAACTCAGTGCCTGTGGTGAAATTATAGTTGAATACTTTAAACCTTCGTAACTTCTTCTGGTAGCGAGGAATCGTAATGTGGTCGTTAATCTTTCATGTGGCGTTATAGCTTCTCGCATAATTGTATCCTTCGTTTTAATTAAAGGTTTCACAAGTGACAGAAGGTGAAGGTAAGTTTCTTCATCCATTCTTAGATAATTATGCCAATCCCGTGGATAT